TATAACTCAGCGATATAAATTATCGTCGGCAATATTTATTGTATAAAAGAGAATCATGTTCGCGCAGTTTTGTTAAAATACGAAAGTTATTTTATACAAGATAATTTTATAGAGGATAAGAGATTTAATTCTTTTCAACAGTTTGTCAATAAGAATTATTAATATTAATACTATTGTTGCAACGTCTACATGTATCGCGCAATTCATTTTGACATATCTTGATTTTATTAGTCTCTTTAATTTATTATTTACATTTAAATAAGATAATCGAAGCTTTTAACGAGTATTTAAGCGATTGCTCCTGCCAACAGCAGATATAAATTTTCATAGCACATTTAAATTGACTGCTTAAAAGGTTAATCCTTGCATACCTCTGGATTGTAATTTATGCACTGTAAATATTCCGTAAATAGACATTTTCATATTTATATATAAGAAGCTAAGCATATTGTGTAAAGATTGATTAATTGGTAGCTATCAACTTCTCATTATATTATATTTAATCTGCTGTGTGTGTATGTGTGTTTACGCATCTAGTTCTTATTAAAAATACTATACTAATAATAAAATAGCTTAGACGTTCGCGAAAAGATCGCAAGTCCGATCTATGCTCATCTATGCTCGATTATCGAGATACATTCGGAGGAATCCGACTTAAGATGAGCTTATCCTAGACCTAGAAAAATAATTGTATTAGCCTTGAGCTACATATGAGAACAGTAAAAGTAGTGAACAAGTCGCTGTCTTGATAGAAAAATTCCAATTCGAGGATAACAATATAATTAGAACATTTTGCCAAGCAAAGAGACTAGGTCTACGGAATTCTATTATAAAGAATATTGGAGATCAAAAACTTGGAATTTATTTTTTCTTAATCATATAAGAAAACCGTCAAGAGAAATTATTTCTTATTATAACTTTTAACTTGTTATATATTTTCGTAAACAAGTCTGGAATAAAATTTTTTAAATAATTTTCGTAATTTTTATGAAAATATTAGAAGTTAAATTTTCTCTTGTTTCAATATTCAATTAATAATAATTAACAAAAAAATATATGTACATATAAGATTACATATATTTTTCTTGCAATCAAGAGTCTTTAAAGTATTGATACTGAACGATTGCAGATGCTTATAAGAAATAATATTAAGAGTAAAAATTAGAATTTCTTTTTTTTGCTTTACCGCACAACTGTTTATTTTACGGCGACTTGGTTATCGTGATTGATAGTCATAAAATCTTGTCTACGGCATGGAAACGAAACCAAAGAATCTAGAATGTTAATGCCAAGGTTGCTTGGTCCGATCCAAGACATTGTCGATCCAAGAAATGCCATTGCCAAGGGAATCTAGTCATTATTCTAACGATTTTATCAGCAGAACAGTTATAAGGAAGCTGCGATCAATTGTTATTGATACAGCATCTGATGTATGAAATGATATAACAATTATCATAAATAATCGATAAGAAAAGTGATGCATGCAGCGAAAATAGTAATCGAGAGCGAAAAAGATCAATGGATATAACATCCAAATACATAGCTTTAGTTATAGAAAAATTAATTAAATAATAATTATAATTATAACTCTATATATATATATCCTTTTTTTTAAGAGTACCGTCACACAATTATGAAAAGTATATAGCATTAATTCAAAACTACACTTTTCAATTGAATTATAATGCATGGATAATTATCAGTAATTTTAGAATAATTAAGTATTCATACTATACTATAGACGGTTGCATACAAATTTTCTTATGCTTCAACGAATAATTCATTAGAGAGAGATGTTAAGTATGTGTTATTATTCATTTATTAGATGCGTTAGGTGATGCTCATATTACCCAGACATGAAGCACGGATATTTGTAAAATTACTTAGAAAATTCTTACATGCAATTGTTTACAAATCATTGGTCAACGTCAAATCATAGATTACTTGCTTATCAACTTGAATACATAAAAAATCATGAAATCAAAAAATTATAATTATTAATAACAAACTATTTAATACACGATGTGTATTATATACATTAGTAATGTAATTGAAATATAAAATGAAAGAAGAATACACGCGCAATAATTAAAATAATTAAGAATTAAGAAAATTTAATGCAATAAATCTTGGTGCTGCTATGGAAATTAATGTTTTAATCGCTGTAATAAAGACAAATCATTATTAATATCCTGGTATTTTATTAAACAATTAAAATACAATAAAATATATGAAAATTGTTATATATATAGTAATGCCAAACGTTTTGCATAAAATTTTTTATTTGTGATAAACAGGATTTAATCATTTACTTTCTCCTTCTCTCTCTCTCTCTCTCTCTTGTAATAGTTAAAATATGCTATCAAACAATTTAAAATAATATTATTTGATCGCTAAAATGTATATATATATATATATATATATATATATCAATCAATCTAGCATCACTGGTTTATTTTCGATCGTAACATTCAATTCTTTATTTGAAAATATTGCATTATGATATTACAATTATATCTAATTATCTAAAATTGTTAGAGAAAATTATTAAATACTATATATATATATATATATAATATCTGTATTATAAAATCAGAAACAACCAATATAAGTTTATTATTAACAGCAAATTTTTAATAAGCTAATTTTTAATAGCAAGTTTTTAAATGTCACAGACATATATTATTATTTAACTGTTAGTCTTAATAAAAATTTGATTTAGTTGATAAACCACTTAAAAAGGATTAATGACTCTAAGATTAAATCAGAATTTATAAAAAACAAAGTTTTTTTTCTTTGTTTTATATCTGCAACTAGTTTTATATTTTAATGAAAATGATATAATTTTTTTTTTTATTATTTTTTGCTTTTAATTTATTACGTCTGGGGGAAAATTTGCATGATTTTAATGAAACAAAGAAAAAAATAAGTTGCCACACATTATACGCAATAATTAAATTTCATTATATTAATTTATTAATTCAAGTGACAAATTCTTAATTCTCTAAGATTAAATAAATTTATTCCTTTCGGAAATTGAAAAATTCATCATATATAAAGTAATAATACTAAATTAATTTACACAAATAGTTTCTTGATCAGAATAAAATAAATTTTATCTCTTCAATAAATGTTAGATTTTATTTGCATCCACCTATTTATCCACATAATCTGAAATACAAAATGCAGAGTATTTAACGTTAAATTTATATTAGCGAGACACTGCTATGTCTCTTGATATAATAATGTATAAAATGTAATAATGTATTGAATATTTCGAAGCGGTAGGGCATATTAAATGTAACACACGGTATCTGATTTTTATGGTATATAGTATGTTATTGTGTTATCATAGGCGCTCAGCGTGTTGTCAATTATTTTGCGCAGTGATACTTGAGCAGTAAGATAGTAATGCGAGATGCTCCGTATATATATTATCAAATTCTTCTTTGAAACGCAATAGCAATAAATATTGGGAAATAACTCGCTATAATCATTACAATTAACGATTAATTAACTTACAATAAACAACTGTAACTATGTCGCGACGACGGCTCTTTATCGAAATGCGTAATTTTCCCGATTTATTCATTTATAATTTCAATTAGAGAAATCGAAGCGATAGAAATAAAAATTATAAATTATAAACGAACAGTAATTATATTTCTTTAACGATACTTGAAGTCAAATATATTTCGATACTTAAAATATTTCGCTGATCTAAATATAATTTGTTATTCGGTTTGAGATCACGTGCGCAATTTTCATGTGATATCATTACTTTAATAGAAATTAAAATAATTATTTTGTAGAATAGTTCGATAATGATATTATGTTTTACAATTTTTATTTTAATTAAAATATTATTATTCTAACAGCTTTCTTACAACAAACGCGTGAACTTGATCCTTTTTTACCTTTTTATAATCTTTATATGACTCGGTTTTCATTAAGTATTTAAAATTCATTTCACATATCAATCCAAGTTAAAGAAAAATAAAGAAAAAGTCTTTAGCACGCAAATAAAAATTAATTAAAATTTATGCACACGGATGCGTGCAGATGCATGTCACATGTTGCGTAAGGAAAACAAACGATTAATAACGGGATTTACTCGCAAGATTTTTCAGTCATTAATTCATTGTTCCATCGATCGTAAATCTTCCATTTTACGTGGAACTATATTATTCCCGTATGCTTTTACATACTTATTATAAAATTTTAAATAATTCTCAAGTGTGTGTGTGTATGTGTTATCAATGATTATTGTAAGAAGCAATTGTTACAAGATATCAGAGAAGATCAAGAAGATAACAAGACGCGGCAAAAAAAAGTAAAAAATTAATAAGCACTTTTTTACACAAAGGATTTAAAAATCAACAAGGAAAATCCATTCTTCATTAATGATAATCTATAATTGGCGACATTGGTATGCGACATTAAGTTATTTAATTAAGAATAACAAATTTCATGTATTGCGAAGAATCTGTCTATAAATATAGCATATTGTATTACAAAATTACAGAAGATATGAATATAATGTTCGATAAAATTATGTACAGTAATTTTATAATTGTAAAAATTCTAAAAAAAATTGAACATAGAGAAGTTCAAAAATATAGATAATCATAGAGTAACATGATAATCCTAATATTTTTATTATTACAATAACAGCTGGATTTCAAAATTTTCGCGCTTTTCAAATGATAGTTAATATTCATTATTTGTATCTTGCTGTAAGAATAATAAACTCTTTCTCATCACATTTTTTTTTTTTAAATATTTCCTTCGTTGAGGTTTTGTCAATATAGTTGCAAAGTAGGAAAAGTATAATATTAGTAAAAAAGCAATTAAATCAACATTTCGAAAAATGTATTTTTAAACTATTTTATAATATACATGTGTGTGTGTATATATGTTTCATTTTGTATCGCGCGAGATTTTTTCCACCAAACAAATTCGTATATGAGAAAGAAGGAATATAATGAAGCGATAATAGATTATATAAATAAAACCAGTTTAATGGTAACATAACATACATAGCATAAATTGCGCTTATTCTCCATAAAATCTGTTTATTATTTTTATCGCTTAATTTATATTTCGTTCCGTCTTTATTCGCTCAGAGAGATATAGTATACAGTATACGATTGTTATAAATTTCGATATATTCTGCCTCATAAATTATGCCTTAAATTATACTTTTATCTAAGTTTGAGGCATAAGTCTTGCACGTATTTTGTGTGCCATTGTGTATCCCTTTTACATGTTCTTTTTTTCCGTTCCTTTACTATATCGCTTTTATTAGAAGCCAAAAGTATTGACCAATCATATCAATATGCCTTGTATTCTTGAAAAATGACAGACACACATGATGTCATAACTTTAATGTGTTCAAAATATCAGCCCGAAAAATATTGGCCGTTTTCGTTACATTCGACAAAAGCAGGACGTTTCGTCATGAATATACAAACATTATGCGTATCTATTATGTATTAACAATCCATAAAAAGTTTCTCGCAGTTTCGCTCGTTTTATTAACGATTAATAGGAATTAGTCTTATTGTATACAACGGATAGACTAGACCACATTGAGACGTTTTCTTGCAAAAGTTGTTTCAAAAATCATTTTCACCATTGTTCGACAATTATAAGCGTTTTAACATTTTTTTGTGATTATAACATCTCTTTAATATCACTTCGTTTTTAGTAATCACACTGTAGTTTGGCGATTACTTCGAGGTTTAATAGCAGAGTAAAAAACTATAAAATATTCGAACTTTTCATTCATATACAAATTCCAAAACCGTCATATATTTTATGACTTTGCAAGAACTTATTATTTAAAAAAAGAAATTTACAATTTATAACACATATATGACAAAGTTTACAATTCAAATATAGAACACAAAGAGTATGCAGAATTAATTTTCATGATATATATAATATAATAATACAAGTATATTTAAAATATATATAATGCACAATGAAACATTTAATAATAAATCAAATATGTAAAATAATAATAACGGAAACCAAACGGGCCAAAGGAATGTATAAACTAAAATTGAACAGTCTAAACAATAAATATCTAATGATCACAAAATTAATCTAAATGTGATGTAGACAATGTAAGTCACTTTCTGCTTTTGTTTCTTCTAGTTGTATATACGCATCTAAACAATAGTGCCTATGTAGATTCAAACAAAATTTTTATTAAAAACCCATTATCTTTGGCTACTTTGGGTATGTTTATTTAAATAATTATAATATAGTAATATATATTGTACAGAGTTTGAGTTAGAGTACAAGATGAATGCGTAACGCATAGTTTTTTTTACATCATGTGTTGTCCATTTGGAGAAGCATATTGCGATTGCTGGTTTACAGACGGTCCTATAGGCCCAGGTGGACCATATGGTCCTGGTGCTGGGCCGCTCTGAGATGGATATCTGCTATGTAAAAAAATTAAGAGAAAATATTTTTATAACATTTAATGTTACTAATAAAACCTAATTTATGTATTGTAATCCATGTGTAAAAAATGTTGTGAAACTGACTTGACAATATTTTGTATTTTATAGTTACATCTTATTACAGTAAATTTTGTCCAACTAACATTACAATAAAAGAAAAATAAATTAAACTTACCCTTGTGGTTGATAAGAAAGGCTAGTTTGATCTGGTGGTGGCAGAGATGGCCCCTGTGGATGTCCAGGCGGATGTTGATGAGGTCCTGATTGAACGTGAAAATGTTGTGGCAAATGTTGAGGCATGCTCGGTATACTGATAGGACCCATATACTCATTATTCGGCAAGCTCGCGTTATACGGCCCTATCGGGCCAGAACCGGCTCCGGTGGGGAACGGAGAAGGTGGCATGCCGTTAAACATCTATTAAAAGATATATGTTATATATGTTACTGTCAAAATATACATCGTACAATTGGTATCGTTATTCGTAGTTTATCTATGGACTTACATGTGGTGGTGGTGGTCCCGGATTGTGGAATGGATAAGGATTTATATGTGGTTGCATTTTGGGCAAAGTGTAACCAGACGGCGTTGGAGGCGCGGGTTCTCTCATCAAAGTATGGTACAAATTAAGAGCGTCGACCAAATCGGAACTTAATTGAGTAAGCTGCGCGTGCCGCCTGTCTACCTTCTCCAAAGCTGCATCGATTAGAGGCCCCATTGCAGTAACTTGTTCTGCAAAATGCAATCGATATGAATATAATAGAAAATATTTGTAACATTCTTTAATTTAATGTTTTCGTTAAGACTTATAGTTACCTTCTAAATCAAGCATTTCCTGAGGATCGGACGTATCACATTGTGGATCAGCTTCATGAAACAGATGTAATAATCTATCCATTTTCTTTTCATCTATTTCAACTTCTACCACCTCTGGCTCGCGTTTTACCATTTTTACTTCTACTTCTTCGGCAAATTGCACTAATTTCTTATTACTATGTTCTAATTCTGCACATAAATATATTCATTATTTCAATCGTAGACAATAAATAACTTGAAAACATTTAATCTTCAAAATATATTAGAGAAAATTAATTAAGTTGCATATATCTTACTAGTAAATTCTTCTGGTTCAACAGATAAATCAGCAGTAACAAAATTGGAAGGAAAAAGTCCTTCGCCTCTTTGATTGCTACCCTTCCACCAATTTGGATCAGAATCGTCCAAAATATTAACTAAAAAGATTCATTGAAGAATTCACAGTTAGCAGAAAGAAATTTTGTATATTGATGTGTGTTGTAATTATAATTTTTATTACGTACTTATTTCTCCTGCTAAAAATGTCAGTTCATTATCCTCTGCAGCTTCAAAATCATATAAAGCGCGTACTTTTCTACCTTCCGAAGTACTTGTGGATGCCATCACAGAATTCACACTTGGATATAAACTAGTACTTTTTTTAGAGGCTGGTGAACTATGCGATGAAGTGCTTTGAGTATGTGCTTTACTTTCTTGTAATGAAAGCTGTATGGCTATTTAAAAAAAAAACAGCTATATAATAAGTGTGTGTATATATATAATCATGACAGAAATAAGTTTAAAACATTATTAGTTATAAAAAAAGTGATATTAAATTATATATTACCTTTCGCAATATCTGCTTCTTCTTGTGAATTTGTTACTACATTAGGATCTCTGCTCAAAGCACTAGAATGTTTTGGCTAAAAAAGATATTTTGCATAAATAGAATAAAGTTTAAAAATATTAAAATAATAATACATCATGATTTTATAATTAAAACTTATTAAAAATATATATAAAATAAGTTGTAAAATAGCTACAAGATATAATGCAAGAGTTCAGAAAAGAAACAGGCAGTATCGATAACTGATAGTCTTATCTAACATTTACATAATACAGTTCTGTCTGGACTTATAATTTAATACTTGACTTTGCACTAAATGCAATTGTTTTACATTTCTATAGCCAATGGAATAAATGCAATAACAATAACATTATTACAGCACAATAGAAACTCACTGTATCTGAGACAGAAGAAAAGTCATGGCCTTCACTTTTGAGTTTGTTGTACAAACTTGGTATCAGATTCAATTGTGGATCAGTTTTAAAGTCACCTTCTACCCATTTCTTCAAAAGCGCTTTGATTTTCTCCACTATTTTTGGTTGTGGATGATTAATGAGTTTTCTCAAATCATTTTCAAAATCTCTGGACGCAATTTCCAAGTGGAAGATCTTTCCACAATTACTGGCGCAAGCATCTAACAACTAAATCAAAAGTGAGTAATCAAAGATGACAGAATACTAAAAATTTTTTTTGGAGAAGAAATAATGTACTAACTGTTATAGCTTGCATGACAACATGTGGGTCTTGACAGTATAATCTCTTAACAATGGAACGTAAACAGTCTTTAGCATTCTGACTCGATGTGCCTACTTTGTCACAGATATCCATTATCTTTCCCCATTCCTCCGTTACATTGTTCTCATTAGTTGCTTTTTCTGATGCCACATAAACAATAGTGGATAAAAAATAATATGTCACAGATATTCAATGACATACATAATTAAGAATAATAGCAAGTCTTTCTTAACAGATTTATATCGACAATACACATACAAAGATTAAAATAATTGCAACAGACATCACAACAGAATAACTAAAACGGACATCGTAGATAATACGACAAAAGAATAAATATTTTCTACAGTCATACTATGACATCTAATCAAAACGTCAAGTACGAATTATCATTAAGCATTGGAAAAATCATTATTATCTCATTTCATGCATGAAATCGTTCGATTTCGCATGAAATCGCATGAAGCGATCTAGCATTAAAAATCCAACGATATAACTGGAGGTCAAATGTCAACAACCGCTTAATGCGCTTAATGCAGATGCAAGAGAGCTTGTTCTTAATAGACTAGGGAGAACGGGCCCGATAATTTCAGATTCGCGATAAACGAGAGCGGCGAGAATGATCCACTTTCGCATGACATTCGTCATGATTCATACTAAACGAAACGAGCCGTCACAGCATTACTCACCGACGTCAGCGTCAAAAGGCGAGGAAGTCGGGAAGAGACCCATCTTTGCGGCTCTCTTCGGTCCAATGACAAAATTATTTTTGTTGCTCTTCGCACGTCAGCACACCGTCACAGAATCGCGCTGCGCATTCAGCTGCTATTTACTCACAAACACGGCCGACCGACCAACTAATAATATTCTGCTGTATTACATCGGCGGACATCTTTGCCCTCGGATATGCCAAAAACCTCGATATCTATCGAAACTCGAACATCGAGCGCGATGACGATTGGATTCGGCGGATACGGCTTTGTCTTACTTGAGAATATTTGCCGTTGATGCGTGTGATGAAACTGCAATATTTTTATCATATTTAGGAAGGCATGGCCTTCTATTTGAAAGTGTCTGCGTATCTATGTGTATACACGCAATTTAGTGAGAATTATTTGATGCCTGATGTGGAAACAAAAACTTATGAATCGATATATCGAATGATGTAGCAACGTAATATAGCAACGCGATTCGATATGTCAAAATGGGAAAACCAATATGGAGCAGCCAATCAGATTCGCTATCTCTCCCTTTTACATACTTGTCGAGAGGGCGCACAGTGAGACTTTCCAGCTGACTTCTGTGAGATTTTACATAGTCTTGTTTTCCGTTCAATATTGTATTTCAATTACGTATCCTCGAATCTTATCTGTTATTATTATCTCCGATACTGATATAAAAAAAAAACAGCTATCTGAAATCCAATATACAAGGTATCTTATATAACTTATGATCCAAATATTAATAACAAATACTTTGATGATTTCAGAATTGAAGATTTCTAAAATGTTTAATTTTACACAAAAATTAAAAAAAAAACATATATAATAAAAAATAATAATAGAATATAATAATAAATAATAAGAATAAAAAGGAATTATTTTCTTTTATATTAGAATTATTAGAAATTTCTAATATTTGTCGAGCTCGAATTAATGTTTGTGATATGTTATTATAATTAATTATAGAAAGCTAAAAGAAGCTGAATTTTAAATGTGCAAATGTATTGTATATGTTACAGCAAATTTCTCGTTATATTAAAACGGAAAATTCTGGTTTTTGAAGTTGTTCTACATAGTACAAATCCTAGCACACACAATGAAAACAAAAATTATTATAGTAACCTCTGGTATTCTTATGTCAGAAGTAATTTGGAACTTATATAAATTATATAAACATTCTCAAAGGAAAGCTGTTAAGATTTCTAATGGATGTATAAAATATCCATGCACAGATACAAGGGACAGAGCAAAAATCTTTGAAGTCATGTTTTTCTCAAAAGAATCTGCTCTATGTCGACCACATCTAGAATGTCGACAATTATGTAGGAAAGCAAATTGTGCAGTAGGACACTTCAGGTAACTTTTCCTGTACAGTATAAAATAAGGCAAACAAAATTATTTCTTTATTTATAGCTTAATGATCTGACGAAATATACTTAATACATTTGTAGGAGGATTATAAATTATTTGGATTCTGCAACTGATACTTTGGACATATGTATGTATTTTTTTACCTGTTTACCCTTAGTAAAGGCGATTATAAACGCTCACAAAAGAGGTGTCGTTGTAAGGATAGTATTGGACGAATCTATGACACAAAACGATGGAAGTCAAACCATGTGCTTTTACAAAGAAGGTTTGTAACAAATATAAAATTCATATATTTAATAAGAATATATAACTATATACAGAATAGTATTTTATCATTTAAATTTACTCTCAAATAGATAATAATTTTTTAGTTAATATTATTCTTTTATTTGCAGGCATTAAGCCAAAATTTAAACAACTAGATGTTTTAATGCATCATAAATTTGTTATTATTGATAATAATATTTTAATAACTGGCAGTACAAATTGGACCATGGCAGCATTTTTTGGAAATTTTGAGAATTTGATGGTGACAAATGAATCAGGACTAGTTAAACCATTTATAAACGAATTCGAAAATATATGGACGATGTTTAATGCTACAGAAGCTGATTCTAAAAAATATACGTTAACATAACAGTTTATTTATTTTAAAATATGTTTATTTTAATTTTTTAAGTAGAAGGTATAGATATTTTTTTATTGTGTCATAATAGTTCCTTATATATATGTATTATATATCATACATGTATGTATATATATGGATATATTATATATCCATATACATAAATGTATACATATTACACACACACACACACACACACATACATACATTTGCCTGTGATATACAATTCATAATTCGAAAAGTTATATGATTTTTATTTAAGTCTATTATTTTAATTTTTATAAGTGTTAAGGAATGCAGAAAAAGAGAGTTTTTGCAAGATTATTCTGATTGTTCAACATAATATGAAATTTTTATTTTAAAAGACAAAGATATTTCATTTGGTTGGTTACATATAAATGGCTGTATTAGATATATAAATATATTTAATATACTTTTTTTAGAAAATATTTTCACTTTTGTTTCCTGGTTTTTTTTTCACATATATATGGATATTCCCACGAAATGATTAATACAAACGCTAGTAAGAGCACATTCTCTAATTCGATTAATTTTTGTGTTTTGGTAAATTAAATTTGATGCGATCATACGGCGTGGATGCACTAAAGGAGTTGCCATGACGATTCTGACATATCTTGGTATTAGAGATAGCCTTTGTTTTCTTGAATGCAAATGAAGCTGCGCTCTGTAATGTATATTAATTTTGTTTCTCGGAACAGTCATGGTCTCCTCAGAATTCCCGGCCGCGTCTAAACAGTAGCCCAGAAATATCTTAAAGCTTGAGAATATAAGTGAATTTATTTAAAAGGAAATACATATTTGTTTCCTATAATGAACTAATAATAAAAAAGATGCATATATTAAGATAATTTATTTTTGGAAAATGGCATCTATATATATATATATATATATAAGTTGCTTAAAGAATCATGAATCATTTAATAGTACAACATGTGCATACATTTCTTTTTAGGCTATATTACCGACAAAGTACTATTTTATTACACGATAATACTCGTTGGAGTGGCTATATTTAAACAAATTTGTATAGTCGTACAAACATATGTATAATAAATGAACCAATCATGTACCATATGAAAAATGCGGCATCAATATGGCGTCTTTAAAAGTTAGACATTTGATTGGTCAGTTTTTTTATAATGCACATATGCATGATACGGTTATGCAAATTCTTCTGAATATGCCTTTAGAGTTGCAACGTCAATACGGTGGCGCCCTCCTATCGATCAATGACGAAAGTTCAACCGTTCAAAGTAAAACTGCGACTTCTCGCAATTTCCAGTACGATAAAAAATATAAATCAATGTATAATTAAGAGACATTAAAAATATAACTGCGATCGCGTGTGTAAATGTATAAATTGTGTGTCGTTGTGATGTAAAATCGTAACGAGATCGATCGATGTCATTCTAATCTCGTGCGCGAAATAAAGTGCAGTACGGAAATTCCCGCTCACGGAGATTGGAAATGTCCGATCACGCCTGTACGCGCTGTATTTGCATCTTAAAAGTCTTCTTCAAGGATGATTGCAGGACTTCGAAATCAACAGACTTCCAGTATGACGTCAAGGTAAGAATTTATTTTTTTTTAGGCAATATATCTGTGCTTTACTACTGCGCATTAAGACATTAATGCAAAATATTCGAAGACAGAGTAGCTTATTCTCTGTATGTACAATATCCATTTTAGATTAATAAATTTATCTATAAACTCTATCGCGCGCGAAGCATTTATTAGTGTACGTTTAATAGTACAGATGAAGAATGGCTTTAGAGTGATTTCATAACGCGATCACAAAACGAAATCGCACGAATCGTGGAAACAGACACCGTTATATACTGGATGGCAATGTACTTCCGCAAATTTTCTCAAGTAGGAAAATCAAATTAGCGTAACCGCGGCGTGATCATTATGCTCGCATACTCGTTGTTGATGCCTCATTTCAGAAGCCTCATAGAATCTAATATTAGTCTTTGCGCTTTGAGCGGAATTTTCGCGTATAAAATGTCTCGAAACTGCAAATTGCCCTTGCGATTTATTCGAAGTATCGTTTTTATTCATCCCCCCATGAGCAATTTTAGCAGTTGAGTCGGACCAGAAAGGTTTCGGCAAAGAGGTGTAAACGCGATTGTGTCGGAGCGCCTGCCAGATGTCGTAAAAACCGCGACTCGTTACTTCTGAAAAGCTGTGATTTTCGTGTGAGCAACATTTATAACGATGTTTATAGTACATTATACACAATGATTTCGTGCATTTGATATGCATCGTATAATTTGATTCATTTTATCAATATTTTTATCATAGAAAAGTTTTTGTTGTTTGCCAAAAGGACATGGAAAATTAGCTTTTTAAATTATAAATTATTAA